ATAGAAGATAGATAGATAATAGATAAATAAAAGATAGATAGATAGATGATAGATAGATAATAGAAGATAGACAGATAGATGGATAGATGGATGGATGATATAGATTGATGATGATAGTTGATATGGATGATAATAGATAGATAGAAGATGGAGAAATTATATAGATATTAAATAGATGATATCGATAGATGGATGGATGGATAATAAGTATAGATGGATGATAGATGATATATAGAGAGATGATATAGATGATTGACAGGTAGATGAATGGATGTCTATGGGGACCCTGTCCGGATGGCCAGATGTGGCTGCTGCAATTGCTCCCCAGACCCCATTCTTCCCCCAGAAACAACCAGCCCAGTGTGGAGCTGCAGTGCCTCCTCATGGCCAGCAGAGGGGGCACTTTCCCCACGGCAGAGCGGCAGCTGAGCCCAGGCGGACGCTGTGCTGGGAGGCGGCGGCAGCAGCAGAGGCAGCGGGCAGCTGTGGGGCTGCAGGACCCCGAGTGGCAACCTGCCCGTCCTGCTTGGAAGCACTGAGTCACAGCCCCCCCGTCCTGCCCCCCACCTCCCAAAGTCTTCCTCCCCTGGGTCCCTCCGCAGCCTTTGCGTGGCAACCTCCCGCTGCAGAGAATCCGCCACACCCGGCAGCCGGAGGCTCATCCGAGGGATCGGGGAGACTTTGGAGAGGAGCCTGGGCAACGATTCCCCTCCAGGCACCCTGATAAAAACCGACCCACCGCGCAGAGCTTTTCCTGCCAGCTTTTCGGACAGGCCTACGGACCCCTCAGCCCTTCCTTGGACACCGATCACCAGTTCCGGGTCTCCCTTACTCTCTCCCGCCAGGAAGCCCTGAAAGTCCACAGGCATTGCATCGATTGGGGGCGGGGGGGGTAGAAATTCAGACCCACAAGGATTCTGAGCAAGGCTCTCCTGGACTAGAAGACCTCTAAGGTCCCTTAGAGGACTAGAAGACCTCTAAGGTCCCTTCCAACTCTGTTATTCTATGCTCTAAGGTGGGGAACCGCCCAAAGGAAGGCCTCAGGGTCATGACCCCAGCAAGCCCAGGGCAACCCCGGTGCAGCTGCGAGGTGGTGAATAGCACGAGCACTTAGACTTAGGTACCACTTCCGTGCTTTACAGCCCTGAGGGGTTTGCAGACTCAGCCTTTTGTTCCCCCCCCCCAACCATCTGGGTCCTCATTTGACCCACCTTGGAAGGAAGGGAGGCTGAGTCAGCCTTGAGCAGGTCAGGATCAAACTGCTGGCAGTGGGCAGAATTAGTCTGCAATCCTGCATTCTAACCACTGTGCCACCACAGCCTGCCCTTCCTTCCTTCCTTCCTTCCTTCCTTCCTTCCTTCCTTCCTTCCCTTTCCTTCTTTTCTTCCTTCTTCTCTCCCTTCCTTCCTTCCTTCCTTTCCTTCCTTTCTTCCTTCCTCTCCCTTCCTTCCTTCCTTCCCTTCCCTTCCTTTCTTCCTTCCTCTCTCCCTTCCTTCCTTCCTTCCTTCCTTCCTTCCTTCCTTCCTTCCTTCCTTCCTTCCTTCCCTTTCCTTCCTTTCTTCCTCCCTCCCTCCCTCCCTTCCTTCCTTCTTTCCTTTCCTTTCCTTCCTTCCTTCCCCTCTCCCTTCCTTCCTTCCTTCCTTCCTTCCTTCCTTCCTTCCTTCCTTCCTTCCTTCCTTCCTTCCTTCCTTCCTTCCCTTTCCTTCATTTCTTCCTTCCTCTCTCCCTCCCTCTCTCCCTACTTAGCCCAATAGTACTTAAACCTAGACGCCGCTTCATGGTGTTTCCCGGCCCTCTCTAAGCGCTTTACAGACTCAGCCTCTTGCCCCCCCCAACCATCTGGGTCCTCATTTGACCCACCTTGGAAGGAAGGGAGGCTGAGTCAACCTTGAGCGGGTCAGGATCAAACTGCTAGCAGTGGGCAGAGTCAGCCTGCTGGCTAACCACTGTGCCTGAATGAGGAGTCCAGGGTGGCCGCCTGCCAGGCTGCGGCAGATCAGCTGGCTGGCTCCATGCCTGAACTCCTGGCAGGGCGGACAGACGGAGGGCCGAGGCTTGAGGTCCCAGAGCCCGCAGGGGAGCTGACCACGAGAGGGAGGCCATCTCCTTGGTCCTGTCTGGGCAGGGAGCCTGCTCCCATTCCCTGATACAGATGTTGCGTGGCGCGATGGCGGCAGTTGCTGGCAGGGATGACGAAACACCAGCTGGGCTAACAAATCTTACAGCGGGCGGAGAAAGGCCCCCGTTCTCCTCATTGTGGAGTCCTTGATGCTCTCCGAGCTCGGCTGCTGGCTGGCAGATGTTTCATTCTTTGACAAGCGAGCGAACCTCAGCCGAGGAAGCGAGGGAGGGAGGGAGGGAGGGGGGAGGGGGGGCGCTTGCCTTGGCAGATAATGAAGCCTCTGCACTGAGCAGAGCAGCCGAGCTCGGAGAAAGCGCCAAGGGCCCCGTCGTTCCAGCCCGAGCGACAGGGCTGCGCGTCTATTGTGCTCGCCTTACAAAACGCTCAACCCACACGAATGCGCCTGCAGCGCACGGATCTGTAAGCTTCAAGGAGCCTTTTGGGGCTGAAAGGACAGGCGGACAATCATCGCCGGCGCCTGCGGAGAGGAATCAAAGGAGGAACATGGATGGGCTGCTCAAAGGGAAACCGGCATCCGGTCCACACGGGCCTCACACAACGAACCAGGTGTTTAAAACACAGCCACCTGTGCCACGGGGGGGGGGGGGGGCCCGCCACTTGCCAGCAGAGGAGGGGGAAAGGGGAGAAATTTGGGAGAGGCAGGTCTGGAGTCCAAGACACTAAAGGACGGGGAAGAGCCTTCCCTGCTCGGCACCACAGACAGTAAACGTGTGCAGAACTGGGCCAGACCAGGCAAGCCCCATGGGTCCCCCCCCCCCATTGCTGGGGCTTCCAGGGAAAAGGAGGAACGGCAGCCCGAAGCACCGCAAGGAGGGCCCCCGATACGCGGAGGCCAGCGTGGCCAGCGGCTGCCTTGCACGGGGCCCGGCTGGAGGTGCCTAGGAAGGCGGCCAAGGTCATCTGGGCAGGGCAGGGACTGTGGAGGGCGGGGCGATGGGGGCTGTGCCCCATGGGGCCCGAGGCAGCACTCCTTGGTGGCAGTGCTGGGGGTGAAGGAGAGGCTGGGGGGGGCGGTGGAAGCAGCCGCAGTGGGGGGGAGGAGAGGGACAAATTAGGGTCTCCCCCCGCCCCAGAGATGAGCGGGATGGGGGAGGAGGAAGAGGTTCCGGGTAGCCACACCCGAGAACCTCTCAGGGCGGATCTAGCAGGCTAGAGGGTGGCCGCTTTAGTCGGGCAAGATCCTGTCCGTGGGGCGTAAGCAAAGAACGGCGTGGCCTCCATCGGATCTCCCTGTCTCGCCTCTGGGCCTGGGACCGAGACCGCTGGAGGCCCCCGGCTTCTGCTCTGGTTGCAGCTGCTGCCCGGAAGTGCCACCAAAAGGGCAGAAATGGGGGTGAGGTGTGTGTGTGTTGGGGGGGGGTCATAAGTGCAGTGCCAAGCCCCCACATTTTGACC